AAATTGTTATGCTCGTAGTAGTAGACTTTTTATTATATTTTTTGTTTTCTTAAATTGATTTATTGTCTTTTTTCTTCTACAATGTTGATATCGATTTAAAAAAAATTTTTTTTTTTGTCTAAATTTTTCTTCCTTTTTTTTTTTTTGTAAAGCTTTTTATTACCTCTTTTTGTAAAGGACACTTCGGGAGAAAAATCAGATTATATATATATCTTATATACATATTTTTTTATCGTGCATTTTCATAACAATACTGATATTAGTGTGTTAAAGGGTTATACTTATTTTAAGCCTTTTAACTCATCTCTAATAATTGGTCAAGTTATAAAATCAAAATTATCAACACAGCAATTAAATAAATTGTATCAAACTTATCAAATGATTTAATCGCCGTGAAGGCTCCCGAATTTCCACGATACTTTATAGCATCACAGACTGATTCTTTGTAAATGTGTGTATTTTGTTCTTAATAATAAAATTTTTCGCATTTCAATTTGCGGTGGTACAGTACTATCGCTATATACATCGTGGAAGAATATTGTCACGTTACTGTTCTCGTGATCTCATTCAGATTACGTTAAATTTCACGTTTCATTTCTTGGAGCTCTAAAATTTCAAAATGGGAAATGTACATTTATAATTTTCTTTTCGATTTATTTTATTTTTTTCTTATTTTTACGTTAATTATTAAATTTTCATTCTAGGGTCAAAAAGCTCAACACAAGCGAGAGAGGGCTAAGGCTTCAGCTAACAAATCTGCCGCTAGTCAGCTTAAATCGGTAAGCTATATACTTTATGCTTGCGTTTTCTTTTAATAGCTTAAATTTTGCTTTTTTTTCATTTGAAACATTAGCGTAGGTCTGCTCTATTGATTTGATGACAGCACAAAAGTAGATCTGTTCGCTTTTCGGTCTTAGCATTTCCAAAACTTTGGCTTATTATCATTTGGTATATACAACTAAATTATATATATCTTTTATTTTTTCACTAACAGAACGAAGCTGCAAAAACTGTTATATGTCAAATTTGTCGGAATACCTTTTTGTGCACAGTGAGACAAAAAGCGTAAGTTTCAATGGAATTTTGTATATAACAAAATGGTTTTAAATATAGTTGTATTTTCTTAGATTGGCGGAACATGCAGAAAACAAACATAGCAAAAAGCTAGAAGAATGTTTTCCTGGATTTGCGGAAGTTCAAAGATAGTAATATCATAATTACTTTATATTATATATAATTATCCTTTAATCTGCAACCTATTCTAGGTAAATTTGTCTAGAAAATTCATCCAAGTTTACTTGATTTTGAAAAAATTAAATTATTTAACAAAATTTTTTTGATAATATTTAAATAAATTTATTAGATATAAATAATATAACAAATAAAAAATATAGTTAAAATAACTAGCAGTAATTGTTATATTTATTTTAAAACTAGAATGCAAATTTTAAAGTATAATAGAAACTAGATATAAACTTTTAAATTTTAATTAAATTTGTAAACTATTTAGATAGATTGTATTTAAATATAAAAATATTTGTTAGTAAATTAAATAGTTTTTTTAATAATTATTTAAACTAAATTTTTGATTTTTATAGTATAATACGTATTATTGCTTAACTTAGATACTTGTATAATTAATATATTATTAGCAAATCAAACAAAAATATTACTTAACATTAATTAGTATAATTCTAAAACCAAATAAAAATAATTAAAATAACAAAAAAATAAACTAAGAATATTAAAAATAATTTAAATATTAATCAAAATATTAGAAAAATATATTAATTTATTATTAATGCAATCAAATATATTTATTAATAACAAAAATAAGTTTTTATAAAATATATTTATAAATGATTAAAAATTTTTATTTTTTTCTAACTTAGAAAAAAAATAAAATTTAAATATTTTTTAATACAGTTGATCCTCGTTAATATCAACCTTGTTAATATCAACCTAAGTCACAAATAAATTTTTATATATTAAAATTCTCATATATATATTAACTTTAATATAATTTCTTATTAATATTACTATTAATATAATTTAAAACCAATCCAGATAGGTTGATATAAATGAGAGTAAACTGTAACAATATTTATTAACAATAATAATATAAAATAATATATATATATATATATATATATTTTTTTATTTAAGACTGATGTTATCAATAGTTACTGCCTTTATTTGTGTTTTTGGTCAATGTATTACATGTAACTTGTACAAGATAAGTGTGCAACTAGCTATACATGTAACTTTTGGTTACCTATTTAAGTAGTCTATTCAAGAGTTCTACACTAGCTGCTATGCCTATAATCTACTAAAAAGGTACCTATTTAAACACTCTAATTCTTGTATTACACCTAGACGAGTAACACCTGATTCTTGTACAACTAAGTGCCAGCTAACCCAACATTTAGTCATCTCTTTTTGTATGTTTGTCAAGCCATTAAACATTCTAGAATACATCATCTGATTGTAAGGTTTCAGAATACCCTTTTGTTAACTACCTACCTACTTTATAGAACATTAACAAGGTTAGCTCTTGTAGAGTTTACCCAAATCTTAGCACCTACTTCATAGCATATCCTAGTACTTATAGTATACCTCTGCTTTAACTTCAAACTTCCAATCCAGATAGTGCAATAGGACTGTAACCTGTCTTTGGTATATTGAGTCAGTCTTAATATCCTTTTCTTTTGGTTCGGTTTTGGTGGTCTGGTTGGTAATACTCCTCATCTGAGGTTCTTGCCCATCTAGCTTCTCTACATTGGTATCTGTTTTCTAAGTCTAGCCTTTACAGTGGTACTATTAAAGATCTGTATTATCTCTCTACTAAGGTCTTTCCAAGTAGGCTCTGGTTTCTCAGTTCTATAGATTTATTCAGCTACAAGAACTTATTTTAGGTTTGCACTACCTGTTACCGGTTTGCATTCTTCAGTGTAACTAAGATTACACAGATGCCCCATGACCTGCCAGTTATGCTAGTGTGATTATAGTTACAGATATCTTATCCCAACTAATCGATAGAATGCTGTTACCATAATACCATCTATGTATTACATAGATAATTATTTAAATTTTTTGTCATTAGTGGGTTTTGAACTCACAACCTACTATTTGAGAGTTGACAACTTATCTACTTCACTAAGTTGCCACATCCCAAAATAATATTTTTAAACCATTTTTTAGACAAAATTGTCTAAATTTTTAAATTAAATTTAGTATTTTTTTTTTTTAAATATTAAGATAAGTACTTATGACTTAGAATTTTATTGATAATATATTTGGCTAATAGTTGCATTACAATCACAGAAGGC